ACGTGAGCAAGATTTGGCGATGAAATGTACATTCTTCTTTTAGAACAAGTCAAGGTAAATCAACCTGTGATAGAATATGAATCAGACTAATTAAGGAGATTAATGTTAAAAATAAAGAATTTTAAGTAAGATTCATGCATCTGTTTTACCCTTTAAGATCATTTTATTGGCCTTCAAAAGATCATGTGTATCAAGTTTCATCAACAAGCTTATTGTTAAAAATTAATATTCCAACAACTGTGAAAGAAAAAAAAAGACAGTATAAATTTAGTGAGATGAGCACCAAAGCATTGAAGACAGCTTAATAAACTTTAATCCAGAGAACCAAACTTTTTATGAAACTGTTTAAAATTGTTAATTCTTTTCTTCTTTTTTTTAATTTTAATTTAATGTTTTTAATTGTTTCTTAATGCTCATGGTTTATTTTGTATTATTTTTCTACTATATTTTTCAGGTTTATTGTTATAAAACTTTTCATAAAAAACCTTTTTTATTGTTAATTCGTTTTTGTTTTGTTTTTTATTATAGAGTTTGCTATATATAGAACCATAGGAAAAAAGATATACCTAAAGCTGTTTGAGGTACCCAATAACTCATTAAAATAGTTGCACCATTTTGAAATTGAACTTTTATAACATAGCTTAGATTTTGTGGTGTTTTAGCTGAAGAAACAGTCAAAAAAGAGATTTGCACTGAGTATCAATATTTCCGATAAGTTATATATTTATATTTTTTTAAGGTTGTATACCAAAAATCATCAAAATTTGAGATAGCATGGCATCAAGCATAACGTGAACTAAGATGGAATGACTTAACGGTAATAGAAGGAAGAATAAGAGATTTAAAGAAGTAAAATATGGAATAAGAGATTTAAAGAGGTAAAATATGGAATAAGAATATGAAAAGCACAATAAAGACAACCTAACCAGATGTTAACTTTGCAAAGAATTGTATATATGGTTTCCATGAGAGATCAATAGTAAAGAATAATTGGAAAAACATAAAGTAGAGGACTCAGCAAAATTTCAGCATTAAAAATCAGCCATTACAAGCCGCAAGCTGTTACTGAAGAGAGATCACATTAAATACTGCCTGTATTAAGCAGTCAAAAAGTGATTAATTTTGTCAAAACAGTTGTATCATCAGCAAATAGGGCTACTTAAAAGTTAAAATTATGAGGAAGATCAATAACGCATGTGAGAAACAAGGCTAAGAATAATACCTTGTGGTACCCTAGAAGTTACTGTAAATGAAAAAGAATTTTGTCTATCAATAATAATTTCAATACTATGGAAAAAAATGACTCAATTTCAAAACTTTCTCAGATAACACCATATAAAGTAAATTTAGTGAGATGACCACAATGCCATACTTCATCGAAAGATGAAGTATGGCATTGTGGTCAAAGAGCAATAACCCTTGTATGCGACAACTTCTATCTAATGTGCAATGGAACCTTTCTGTTATAACTGTTAACAAGCCAGCAGTAAGACTAGAGAAATCTGTATTAATTTGTATTGTCAAAGAAAGTTTATTTAATAAAGCCATAAAGATATGGGTAAAAACAGTAAGAAGACTGATTAGGTAAAGTTAAAGAGGTCATAACTATCACAAGTTTTTGAAAATCAAAATCACATAAGCAGGAAAACAAAACTTAGTTCAGCACTTGTTAAATAGTTTAGAATGTAATGATGAACACTTGAAGAACTTGAAGAGTTTGAAGAACACTTTTTTAAAAATTTCACAGGAATCTTATCTCCGGCCTCAAGGTGTTTACATGAGAAATAACTTTAGCAACCTTTGTTAATGACATATTTTTTTAATGTTTCTAGAACATTAACTTTGAGATAAATTATGAGATTTATTAATCTGAGAATAATAGACTTAAGTATCAGACAATTTGTGCTGATTGCTTATTTTGTGACAAGGACAAGAAAATCATTGAGTAGAGTGTGGATTGACTTGAAAACATTGAGTAGAGCGTGGACCAACTTAAAAACAACAAGGAATAAAAGCTTTTATGTCAGCTTGAGCCCAGGAAATTATTAAGGAGGTTTAATTTTCAGCTAGAAAAAAAATCAGCCCAATCACTATCAGAAAAAAAAAAAAAGAAAAAAAAAAAACACGAAAAGAAACCAATATTTTTTACTACTAACTTAAATCACTACTAAGTAAGAAATGCAATGATAGGGTGAATCTAATGTAAAAAAAATGAGGTATTAGTTTAGATTTGATCATGGTATAACCAAACCAAGACACAACAACAAGCACAATCAATCAAGGAGAGTAGGTTAGCACCAAGGTTGTCTGAAAAACAAGTTGATGATCTGATATAAAAAAGGAAAAAAATCTATATGGTATAGTCAGCATTGAGCATGGTCAGCATGGTCAGAGAAAACGATTTAATGAACAATTCTGATCAAAACAATATTCAATAGTGACGCCTTGGGTTGAAGGAAAGCAATAAAGAACTAAAAAGTTAATTAAGTGAAGAGGTGCTATGTACATAAAGAATAAATATTCAAACCTGATTCACAACAAATAAGTGAATTGAAAGATAAATATGTACCAAGCATGTGACTATTGTCCAGACCAAGCATGTGACTATTGGATCTATTGCAAATCAATGAATCAATATTTAAATTTTAAAATGAATCAGCAGAATTTTTACTTCAAGCAGAACTTTTGTTAATATATGGTATTTTAGAATCATGTTAAATAACCACTACAGGGGGAGTTTCGTCAACTACACGAGGGCAGCAAGTAAATATTAACAACAAATTTCTCTAAGTTGTTATTCTAGTATGTGTAAATTAAAAAAATAAATTGATTTTTATATTTGTGAATTTTGTATTTGTAAATTAAACTTTATTATTCATAAAATAAACTTATTTATTTGTAAATTAAAAAAAAAAGTAGAGCGCTTGCCTCATAAGCAAGAAGTTCAGAGTTCAATCTTTTCTACATCCCTGGTGTGGATGTCGTAAAGATCAAAGAATTTTAATTGAGTAGTAAAAATTGGAGAAACAAGTTGTGTGTGATACACACTCAACTTGTTTCTCCACACAGAGACCTTGTTCCTCAAGGTTTATGTTTCAAATTAATAAAGTTGTGAGAGGGTCGTAACCACAATTAAAGTAACCTCCTCGGCTGAAGTGACCTTTAGGAAGTGAATTAACATATTACAAAAATGTTTTACTAGAAAATTTAGTTTACCAATAGTATTTTTAATTACCTTAATAAAAAATGTTTTTATACTTTTTTAAATTAATTTTACATAATGTCATTTTTAAAATAAATTAAAAAAAAGATAAAAATGTGTTTTAATCTTAAGTTAGGAAAGTTATAAAATTTTATCAGTCAATATTTTAAAAATGACATTTTTAGATAGACAAAATTTATTTGTTTTTTATAAAAATTTTTATTGCAAATAGAAGTTTATAATATAAAAAAACAAACAAAAAATAAGTAGTTCTAAGTATTTCTACAAGTCTTAACACTTTATATTTAAGACTGTCAATAACAGGGTTATTCGCTGTCTTAAATATAAGGGATGGGGAGTCCCAAAAAGGACTTTTTTTTCTTAGTTTTTGGTATCCAGGAGCTCTAAAAATATAGTTTATGGACTAATAATATGAAAAAAAATTAAGACTTTTAGAGGAACAATCATTTTTTGAACCCGGAGTCCTTAGGTATAATGGCGGCAAGGACTCCGGGACTATGGGCTTAAAAACAATAAGTTTCAAGTCATTAAATTTCATGAATTTTTTACTTATAGCAGATCATAAGTCAACAAACATGTTTAGAGCTTCTGGACACTACAGACTTGGAAAAAGTAGAGATATAAAGCTGGAGTCCTTTTGGGACTCCGCATCTGTGGTTATAGGTTATTTATTTATATATATATATATATATATATATATATATATATATATATATATATATATATATATATATATATATATATATATATATATATATATATATATATATATATATATATATATATATATATAAATAAATTAGTAGAAAATCACTTAGCAAAATTTTTTCTCATTTGACACTGTGTTTCATCAATAAAGACTCATCAGAAATTTATTGATGAAACACAGTGTTAAATGAGAAAAAATTTTGCTAAGTGATTTTCTAGTAATTTGTAATTGCTCTGTTCTTTTAAGAACATTGAGCACTCTTTTTGTAGAATACATTTTAAATTGTTTAAATATATATATATATATATATATATATATATATATATATATATATATATATATATATATATATATATATATATATATATATATATATATAATTATTTTAACTTTTGAGAAATTTAAACCAATTGGAAATTTTGCTTTATATGCAGTGTCATTAGGCTGGCACACTGATAAACCCAACTTTTAGGGTATAACCCCTTTGTACACGGGCACATAGAACGTGTTTGAAATTTTTTTTTTAATAAAACAAATGTAGTAGACCTCCTTATGGGGTATGTAAAATTTTATTTAAATATTAATTTTATTAAAATATCAAGTACAACTGGTGTGCACAAATGTACGCATCATGTTTCAATTATTGTTTGCTTAAGTTTTAGAGTGAAAAATTAACAAAATGAATTGTGTACGTTTACACACATGGTGTATGAAGGAGATAATCACATATCCTATGGTAGAAAATAATAGCCTTCAAGGTAAAACATATCCTTTAAGTAGGAAATTACACCACATATGACTATATTTAACCTTAATTTTTAGAAGGCCTTAGAAGGGTAGGATATGTGATATATCCTAAAGGTAGAAACTTATACACTTTTTTTAGTGTGCAATAATTGATAAGTACATAGAGACATAAAAGTATTTTAACTGATAATTATTTTTAAAGCATTATATAATTTTTTTAAAGCATAATTAGTGCAATCTCAAAATAAAAGGAAAAAGCCTTTAAAAATTTAATTATGATAAAAAGAGAAAAGGCAAATCTTTAAGTTTATATAATCATACCTTTATTATTTTATCACCAACTTTGAGAACACCATCTTTATATGCAGGCCCGTCAACAACAACTTTAGTTATAAAAATTCCCTAAACATATTCAAGGATACATTTTCAAAGTGTTTAAATATAAAAATCAAATGGTAAATAATAAAATATTTAAAACAGAGCTTGATGACTTTTTAAGTATTTACTTTAAATAATAAATAATATTAATGGTAAGTAATGCTTACAACTTTTAAGATATAACATATAAGTTATATTTACTATTCAAATGTACTAAAGTTTTAAAATCTTTAATATGCCAGAATTTCTTAATCACTGCAAAAAACTTAATCACTGCAACTAAAATGTCCAGATTTATATTAAACTTTGCTTATATAAAATACTAGGTGAATCACAAGTATTTTTATAATTAGTATCTTAATCTTCAAAGTAGCTAAAGTAACAGAGGCAAAATAACATAGGCAAAATAACAGAGGCAACAATATTGTCTCAAAGTGAAACAAAAAAACATGGTCAGATAATTTACCTATTCATTTTTTTTCTCCAAACAATATATATTGTATTATCATTTAAATATACATAAGAATACATTTGAATATCAGCAATTATTAAAGAGTATATATTATACTATAATCTAAATATACATAAGAATACATTTAATGTCAGCAATTATGAAAGAGTATATATTATACTATAATCTAAATATACATAAGAATACATTTAATGTCAGCAATTATTAAAAAAATAATTAAAATATTTTTATTTTAAAATTTTACTGTTAAAAAAGTTAATACTTAATAGCGAGATTCCAAAAATTTTACAGAACTCAAATATCTTAGTTTTAACACAAGCAAAAAGATATTTCTTATAATCCTAGACTTAAGTAAAAAAATGAGAAATATCACCTCATCTAGGAACAGGTCAACATTGCTTCCGCTCGAAACCAACTGAAATAACATTAATTGCACATAAAATCAAAAAGAGATTAGTAAAAAGAAATTTCAATTTCAGATAATTAATGTTTAAACAAACTGCAAAAAATAGTTTCATAACTCACAGTGTAACTATGTAGATTTATTTCTTATTTTCTTATTTACAAAACGACAAAACAAAGTAAAAATTAAGTGAACATTTAAAACTACCTGTTCATCTTCTTGAAAAGTGTTAGTACCTATTCCTCCAGCAATATTTATACCCAAGCTTTGGCCATCTCTTGTCAGCAATGTTGAAAGCTAAATTTATCATGATGGTCACAGTAAAGCAAATAAAAATATAATAAAAAATACTAAACAACATAAAAAACGAATATATTTAGAATAAATATATTTCAAATAAAAGTACATAAAAGTGCAAACAAAAATCTCTTAAGAAAATTAAACATTTACCTATTTAAAAAAAAAAATATAAATATTTTGTGCCCTTATGTACATGTATAAAATTACAGTAAAATAAGCTTCTAAATCCACTTCAGGACTTCTAAATAAATAAATTTGTATCACGTCCTTCATTGATCAATGAAGTTCTTCAGTATTTCTGTTTTAAAAAGCTAATATCCACGTACTTCTTCATAAACTTTTGTAACAGTCTCATTTTCAATGTCCTCGTTCGCTTCATTATCATCTTCATTATCATCTTCACATACTTCTTCATCGTTATCCTCTTCCTCATCTACATCTTCGCTTCCTTCTTCCTCTTCTTCAAAAATGAGCCCACCAGATGGTTTTTGTACAGGCAAGCTTTTGGAGAAATTATTGATAGTAGGTGTATCTTGCCTTTTATATTTGCGTAAATCTAAATTACAGAAATTTTTGCCTAAGAAAATGTTGACTAAGAAAAGCAGTTTTTTAATATATGTTATAATATAATACATTATTTTTAATATATGTCATAATATAATACATTATTTTTAATATATGTTATAATATAATACATTATTTTTAATATATGTTATAATATAATACATTATTTTTAATATATGTTATAATATAATACATTATTTTTAATATATGTTATAATATAATACATCATTTTTAATATATGTTATAATATAATACATTATTTTTAATATATGTTATAATATAATACATTATTTTTTAAACATCTTACACACTTAGAATACATTTTTTTAAACATCTTACACATTTACAATACATTTCTGTGAAATAATTGTTTTATATTGTTTTATTAATATTTTCAAACTTTGATGACATGTTTAAAAAAAGTTTGCAGAGAGTAAACTTATCAAAAATAGCTCAACGTTTAATTTGTTTTATTTTTTGCTTTTTAACTAGTTTAATTCTTAACAGAAAATTAAATGTAAACATTTAGTCATACATTTTATAATTTGGCATAACTCAAAATTATTTAACAACAAATTAACTTATGTTTTTCTTTATTATACCTATAAAAAATATAACCCTAGAATATAGTATATAACACTAGGATATATTATATAACACTAGGATATATTATATATAAAAAACAAACCATAAAATATAATATAAGTCTGAATAACTTGTAAATAAATTTTAATGATTTTAATTATTTTAATTTTTATTTTTAAATTTTTAACTTTACTTCTTTAATTTTTATCTTTTTAATATTAAATATTTTTATGAGTTGAGTTGTAGAACTTTAATAATGCATTTGCCTAAGATTGAATTTAAAGATACTTACAGGATACCCTAATTTTGATTTAATCTGAACTCAGATAAAGAGGATTTACCAATAAATAATTAAGAACCTGAAATCACCTGAAAAAATCAGTTATTTTTAAGAATTTGGAACTGATTAACTTGACGTTTGTTTTGTAAATGTAAAGAAATTTTGAATCAAAGAAAATCAGGTAATTTATTCCTGTTTAAATAAGCAAAATCATAAAACTATCACCAGTGAGGACTGAAAATCAGGACAGAGAGTAAGGACTGAGAGTGAGTATATATTTTGGTAAAGGTCCAATGCCTGCTCTAGATATAAAAAGTAGATTTAGTGGGAAAAAAACAAGAAACATCCTTAATAAATGCTATTTTATGATCTGTAATAAGGAAATTTTTATTAACTATATTTAGCTGTGATACTTCAATCACAAATATTTAGATTCCTGTTGTTTGAGCAAATTAACAAAGAGATTGTTGCAGACAAAAAACCAACTGATCTAGATCTGTTTAACCAAACATTAAAACTTTAACCTTGCATCCTAATTTTTTTTTTTTTTTTATAGTTTATTGCACCCCAATCCTTATTTTATGTGCTTTATAAATAAGTGGATCCAAACCGATGGGTTTGCATTTTTGTTTTGGTCCCTTTGTTATTTATTTTTAAAATAAAAATAAAAAATTATAATATTTTTAATTTAAAAAAAAATCAATTAAAATAATAGAAATTTAAAGAAGTTCAGTAGAAGTTTATAAATTTACTTTTTTTTTTCCCATTCATAACAGCTTCAACATTTTCAAAGGTACATTCCTAAAAAAAGAACGTTTTCATAACTTTTATGAAAATATATTTAAAAATTAATTTTAAATATACTCTCATCAAATTTGATGAAAATATAATTTGAAGAAAAATGTTTTGATTATTTCATAATTTTTATATAATAAGCTTTGAGTTACCTTTGAGAATTTCTCTTCATTTTCATGATCAACTGAATGATTTTTGTTTTGTTCAATTATTGATAAAATCTCCTGAAAACCACCACTATCTTGAACAATTCGCTTACCCTTGAGAAAATGTGGAGTGTCTTTGCGAAACAATTTACAATGTTCATCATTCACATTTTCTTCCACATTAAATCGAATGCGTTTTTTTCCATCCTCATCGTCGCTACTGCTATCTTCAGAAGAATTCTAATAAATGATAAAAAGATGTTGGTTTCAAATTAACAATTGTAATTGTCTTTATTTTGAAATATTAAATTTATTAAAAATTTCACAGCTCTTGAACTTCAATACTTTATTGTTAATCATCAGAAAAGATTTTTTTGTTTTAAATAATTTAAATATATTGGGTCACAGCAAAAAAAATATTTTATTTTCTCCATAAAATACACTCTACATATAATGTTCTTTAGTTTGGTGTAAAATGCTCTGAGTTGATACCAGAAAAAATTTTGAGCTAAAAATAAAACCTCTTGCCCATTGACTGAGGTGAGTAACCAATAACTGAGGTGAGTTACAATAATAATACATAACCTTATCGCTAACCCTAACTAATAACAAATAACAACCTATCAAAATTAAAATACAGTCATATAATTATATATAAAATAAATAATATGTAAAAATGTAACAGCAGAGAAAAAAAAAATTAAAAGAAAAATGTTTTAGAATTATTGCTTTCAAAATTGTAAAAATTAAGTATATACTTGCTACCAAACATTTAAGTATTATGTCTAAATTATATTCAATTATGTTCACAAAATATATTTTGATTTAAACTCTACTATAGCTTACATAAACTGATTGGAAAAATCATGCTGGTCTTCTCAATGATACTTCTCACTGCATCATATGAACCAAAAGCTTGCTTCATAAACTGATTGGAAAAATCATGCTGGTCTTCTCAATGATACTTCTCACTGCATCATATGAACCAAAAGCTTGCTTCATATGATGCACTGTTAATAAACAGAATAAATCTTGGCCTCGCCTCCACTGTTCTAAGACAGCAGTTGATGGTAGCGTTCCAATAAATTTTTAGCGGCAAAATGTTCTGGTTTCCTCCTCCAGTGGTTAACACCTTTCTATTGGCAGCCACAGCATTAGTTTTTTGATGCCAATTGGAAAGCGGATGCCATTAGTAGCAACCTCTACTAATAATGTTAGAGGAAAAATGATTTAGAGGCTGCCTATAATCATTTATGCCTCTAGCTGGCTGCAACCGCAAAATTAAAGGCAGAAATATTTGCCTCCTTTCAGCGGATGTAATAAAAAATAATTTCACCTTTTTTTTTTTTTGCAAAAGAAATAACTGATATACAGGTCGAAACATGCAACAAACTTTAAAATGAAATAATTGATATAGTCCTAATATTTTTAAATATCTATTTACAAACAGTGTCATATTCACAATTATTACAATTACAAGTGCGTAAGAATTTAAACTAATCTTAAGTTATATAATTTGATAGTTAATAGAAAAATGACTATTTTGTTATTATGATTACATATATCAACTATATAAATATATAAAAGAATATAACTGTATAAAAGTATATTATTACACAATCTGTATCAATTACAGAAGACATCAACAAGTAATAAGAATGATGTAGACTAAGATACTAAACGAACCAGTTATATAAACTTTATGTTGTAGCAGTTTTTATATTAGCACTCTTTTAACTCTGATGAAAGTCTAAACTGTTCAGTTTAAAACATAATGCATAAAATTATACTCTTACCTGCTAATTAAACAGGGGGATCTTAAGAAACAGGAGGATCAGAAATATAACTATAAACAGGTCAGGGTAACGACATCAGTTTTTGCTGTCTAATAACGACTGTCCAACAACATCTGTAAATATAATGAGGTATAACTACATCTGTTGAACAACATCTGTAAATACAACAAGGTATAATAACATCTGTCCAATAACATCTGAAATTTTATTGATGTATAATAACACCTGTGTAAGAAATATATGATTATTACAGATGTAGTTACATCTTTTCTAATTATAATATTATCTGTACAAGATTGTGGAGACTTTAAAGATATAGTTACATTTTTTCAAATAAGTTAACAACAACTACATGTGTAAATTCTACAGATGTATTTACATCTTTTAAATCATATTAAAATTAGCTACAGGATTTTATTAAATTATTAAATTAATAAAAATTATTAAATAATAACACATTATTTTAACCAGATGTAGTTTCATATATAGTTTTTTTCAGATTGAGTTACATCTGAAAAAAAAAATTTATAAATGCATTATTTTAACCAGATGCAGTTACATATAAAAATTTTCTCAGATGTAATTATATCTAGAGGAAATTCTTCCAGATGTTATTGGACTAGGTGAAAATGTTACCAGACATAGTTAATCTTCCTAAAGATATTGTTCGGAGTCATTTCCAGATGATATTGTTGTGACAGATGTTGTTAGAGTAAAAAAAAAAAAACACAGATCATCTTGGACAAAACTGTACAGATGATCTTGGACTACTAAGATGTTGTTGGACATATAAAGTAATATTTTACCCTATAAACAAACTATAAATTATAAATTTAATAGAGGGAAATTTTAATAAACAGGAGAGTCAGAGTATTAAACATTAAATAAAATTAATCAGAAGCAATTCTGTAAAGTTTTAAACTTTTTAAAGTTTCAGTCTTTTAAAAAGTCAAATCATATTAACATTTTATAGATGAAAAATTAAATTAAACTAATAATCATAAAATAATTAGCTCAAAAAACATTTAAAGTTTATTTTTGAATTAAATGCAATTTGTCTCGGCACTTAGAGAGCCCCATGAAGAGTTGAAAGAGGGTTGCAAGAACAACTAAAAAAAAAAGTAAGCAACCTTTTTGATGACCCTTATAGACTTATAAATGTGAATAGAAAAAAAAACAAAAAAAAAACCTTTTTTTAAAAAAAATTTATGTATTTATTTCAGGGTTGAAAAAAACCCAGGGTTTTTTAAAAAAACCTAACCCAAATGGTTTTTTTTGGGTTTTATTGGATTTTTTTGGGTTTTATGGGTTTTTTGGGTTTTTTTAAAAACCGATCAAAATACCAAATTTTTATAATTGTATGAGTACAATAATTTTTTTTTTAATTTCATAAATTCACCTTCCTATTGCTCCAATGACCACTTCAGTCAAGGGAGCAACTCATTTTTTAAAAACATTTTGTCTCAAACCTTAACATTACCATTTTTACTAACAAACAACATTAACAACTAAAATTTTTAAACAAAGGCGCTGTGCGGAGAAATAGATTGAGCACAGTAATTTGAGCAGAGGTAACTTGAACCCCAACCTTCTGGTTGCGAGCCAAATTTTTACTACTAGTCTACTAGCACATTTTACCTATAGTGCAAAAAGGGACTCCATCAACTATAAATGATGTTAATTAATTGCACTAAAATAAAAATACGTTCAGAATATTTTTGACTAAAAAAAAATCAGTATAAAAATTATTATGACAATTGAGTTATTCAAAGTTGGTAAGACAATATAAATGTTGCAAACTAGTTTTTTTTACTAACATGTGTAACATATCATTTCAAAAACTATTTTGCACAAGTTTACAACATGTAATCAACAAGTTTGCAACATGATGTTGCAACCTTATAAGTTATTATGAATCAAGTTGACTATGAACACTTTTTAAACATTTTTGTATCATAGAAGAAAACTGCTAGCCTAATCACTACATTTTTTTTTATCAGAACATTATACTGACCAGCTTCCTGAAAAAGTTATACACCTGATCAACTGGACTGGCAAAAAATGGATTTTTGCCTAAACTTTAGTTGTTCTTAAAATATCTAAAATAAATTTGTTAAGAACCATTACAGTGTCTTCGCCACCAAGTTTTTTTTTTCCTTGAAGATGTTTTACCGGCTCAGTTTTGCAATGCAAATTGCAAACTGAATCAAAGTAACACATTATACAGCTCTATTGTGTGTGTTTCTTCACCTTTTAGCAACTTGATACTGATGTTAATTTTCAACCCGCTGTTCATAGTCACCCTTGTTGGTGGTACATATTGTAAACTTGTAGCTGATACAAAATATTCAAAACCTATCAAAAGACAGATGAGCACGAGTGTCATTTATACCAACAAATCTTGTCTTTGTGAAATGCATACAAGTTTTCAACATGTTCTCTCATTGAATGAGCAAACATGTTGCAAACTTGCTTGCACATAACTTAATTTTTTTTTAAGTTTTAGAGTTGTATGTACTTAAGGACAAATCTAGTAAACTGTAGCATTTTTTTTTTTTTGCCTGACAACTTTCCATTTCTAAACTGTAAGTAAAGTTTAATAATTTTTATATATAGTATTTTGCTTGTGGCTTTCTACTGAAATTTGCAGTTTACAACATAAGCTTTAAAAAATAAAAGAGCAAATACCAATATAAAGGAATATAGACATTTGAGAGAATAATAAAGATACTAAATAACTAGTAATGTCTTGAAATTTAGTTAATAGAATGATTTTTATTTCCTTTATAAGTATTTAACTAATTTAATGTTTTAATACATATTTCAATAACATTTATAATAACTTGCTAAATGTTTAAAAAGAATAATAAATAACCAACTTGCTACAAAAACAGATTGATCGGTTTTGGTATTCTAAATACCATTATGTATATAAATACAGTGTTTACAAGAGTAATTACAGTATAAAGGTTGCACTTGCTGATAATAAAGCATTTATAAGTGTTAAAATCAAAGTTATCAGTTGTAAAATAGGACATTTTTAAAAAAACCCAAATATATTTTGGGGTTTTTTGGGTTTTATTGGGGTTTTTTAAGGTGGGTTTTTTTGGGTTTTTTTGGGTTGGGTTTTTTTGCCAACCCTGATTTATTTTCTAGTATTGAGTTGTTGAGGTTAAAAATCTTATTTAAAGTTATTTTTGAAGACTTACTAAGGAATTTCAAAATTTATCATTGTATTATTATTTGAGGCAGAATGGGGAAAGGTACCAAAGTATAGCTTGGTTAAATACACTCTGATGATGCTTGACTATTGTTATTAATATAGATGGAATTTAGTTGATTTTGAATTTACCTGTTATTTTGTGCACTAGTTAAATAAATAGTTAAACAGAATAAAGTTTTAATTATTAGTTATGTATTAATAATTAGTTAAACAAATAATAATACATAACTAATAATTAAAACTTTATTCTGTGAACAAAAAGTTTATACTTTAAAAGTTATTTTTTTAAACTTTATTCTGTGAACATAAAGTTTACTTTAAAACTTATCAGGATGAACTATAAATAATAAAAATTTGAATTAATTTTCAATAATATCTTAAAAGCAAAAAACTTCTCTAAACTATTCCAAAATTTTAAAACCTCTTAATGAAAAAATATTACTTTATTACTGTTGTTCAGTTTCACCCATCTTTTTAATTTTTATATTTTTAAACAATTATTTAAAAACTTATCACCTCTTCACTATGTTCTTCTTCAGCAGAATTGCCACTTAATGCTGCTAGATTGTCAATACCATTTGTTACAACTGAATTGTCAATACCATTTAATACTGCTGAATTGTCAACACCACTTTGTAGATTTAACTTAACACTGGTGTTAATTTGATCTGTTTGTTTTGTAACAGATTTTTCTTCTGGTAAATTAACATGATTTAAAGTAGCAGAAGTAGCTGATACTGGTCTGCTGTGTTCACTCTAAATAAAATAATTAATATTGAAAAATTATTAATTTTTACTTGATAAAATCTTTGAACAATTTAAGAAAGAAATAAAAACCTCTGGAGATTGAGATCTTTTTCTGATTAAATGTGGATGTCTACTACGTAATTCTTTAGGATAAGGTGTGTCGTGACGTTGAAGATTAGACTAAAATACATTTAAACTTAGTGAGGCAATTAATATAACTTTACTCAATAAACATATTTACATTGTTAAGTTAAATTATGTCGCTGATTTTAAAGTACCGCATTGTAACTAAATTTAATTCAAAACATTAAAAATCATTTTAAGTCTTTATCTTAATAAAAAATCTTTCTATTAAACAATATTGTTATAAAAAAAATATCAATAAAATTTAAATACGTTGCTTGAACAAAAAAATTTCTTTACTTTAAAAATTTTTACTTATTTAATTTTATATTATTAAAATAAGTAGAAAATATAGCAAAAACATTTGCTAAATATATATAATCTTTTTTGTACTTAAAAAATTGGAAAATATACTTTTTAATTTAAATTTTATAGTTCAGTAAACTAAAGTTTAACAGGTCTGCACAAAACTCATTTCAAGACAGGTTTGTCATTCTTTAGTTTACTGAACTATTAAATTTAAATTAAAAGTTTATTTTCCATTTTTTAGAACAAAAAAATTTATACTTATATAGCAAATGTTTTTGCTATATCAAGCTTGGACAGGAATGGCATCCAATCAAATGCTATTGCTAACCACGCAAATGATTTTATTTTTTTGACTACTTGAACATGACTGTTGAGTTGTTTTGATGATTTAAACATTTTAGAAATGCGTTGAAAATAGAAATGCAAAGCTAACTTATACTACGAGGAAAATGAAAAAAACTAAAGAAAAAAGAAAACAATTTCTTACAAAAAAGAAAATATATAAAAGGAAATTCAAACTTGAAGCGAAAATTACTTTATGTTTTTAATTGCATTTGAAATTAATTGCTTTAAAACTAATCTTTTAAAATGTTTTATTAAAGTTATGCAAAAACTTTTACAAATTACTTTTAATGATTGTTTAATAAATAAACAAATTTTATTTGTAAAACGAGGTAAAACTGAACACACTTAGCTTAATAATTTTTTTTTTTTATAATGTAAAATGATTTAAAAAATTTTTATTTTTGTTTTTGTTGAGAAAAATGAGCTCTATCCAAATATGTAAAATAAAATAAAAAATGACGGAAAATTTTTTAGTAAAATGAGTTTATTTGAAAAGTATAAATGTTCCATTTTATCTGACAATTCAGTTAAAACTGAACATGTTAAAGTATTGGTAATTTAATTAATTATAATAAATAATAGTAATAATAATTCCAAAATAATAGGAATAATTTACAAGAAGATGATGTCTTATGAGTTTCAAAATTTTTTGTACAATAAAATTCTTCATCAGTTTTATATTTTTTTGGCAAAGATGTTTGACAAACCCAGCATTTGCAATTTGTACTTTCACATGTAATTCAACTGCACTACTTAGGGTTGTTGCTGTACCAGACCCTTTCGAATTCACACGATTATATACACGATTTGACAAAGTACCTTTTGGAACATTGCATATTTGAGATGCTTTACATAAACTTATTTCACCGCTATTTATTCTTCCAACTGCCATTCTTATTTGCTCTTCAGAGTATGATATTTGAGTTGTTTTTTTTTATGTCTTGGCATTTTGAATTGATTTTGATTTTGTTAACTGATTTAAGTTCATTTAGATTTTGTTAACTGATTTAAGTTCATTTTGATATTTACATGAAATTGTTATAAGTATATTATATTAAAGAATAAGAAATAGTAACTATAAAAAATGGTAATTATTGATAGAGTTAAAAAGTTAATTAACTAATTACATGTGAATAATAACTGTGTGAAAACTATTAGTGTTCAGTTTTACTCAAATATATGACTTTTCTGTAATTCTGTTATAACTTTTTTCAGGAAATAACAATTTCATTTCTGAGAAAAAATTCTTAATCAGCATAACTTTTACTTTTACGTAACTTTTACTACAAAAATGTATTTTTACTTTAATGCTATTTTATTTCCGAGATTTTTACTTTGCTATTATAATAAAATTTAAAACAATTTATACTCATGTTTAAATGTTTGAGTTTGGTAAGAAAATTATTAATTGCATTTGTTTTCTTTTAATTTCATTAGATAGAGCACAAAATTCTCTATGATTTATAACCAAAATAATTTTTAAATATTTCCGTTTAAAAATGAAATATTTAATATCATAAGTGTTCAGTATTTCCCACTGTT